CTTAAAGGATGGAGGACTCTGTGCTGTATTAAGAGAAGAATGCTGTTTCTATGCTGACCATTCAGGAGTCATGAAAGACTCCATGGCCAAACTCAGGGAAAGATTAGATAGAAGGCAAAGAGATCACGAATCGCAACAAGGTTGGTTTGAAAATTGATTTAATAAATTCCCTTGGATCACCACGTTGGTGTCTACCTTATTGGGACCCCTTATCATCCTTTTATTACTTTTAACTGTTGGGCCCTGCGTTCTGAATAGATTGGTTGCCTTCATCAGAGAAAGAATCAGTGCAGTGCAGGTATTAATGGTGAGACAACAATACCAGCCTCTAAGAACCCAAGCCTTAGGTATGGGACATGAAGAAACTAGACATTAAGGGTTCTAAGATTAGAACATGTGCAGAAAGAAAAAGGGAGGAATGTTAGAAAAGTTTTCAAGAAGCTCCAGTAGCCCAACCCCTAGCACAGTCAGCTAACTATGACAGGCCAGAAGGTCACGTTAAACATTTCTGAACAGGAACCAAGATAAACATCTGGTACGGGAACAACCGGACCTAGCCCTAAACATTCCCGTAAATGATCCCCCACCGAAGTACCCCCTCCCCTTTCTCGGAATTCCCCCTCCCCTATAGCTTGTGGTTTTTTTCTTTCAAAACTGTGTATCTACCCTGCTTCGGGGCTCAACTCCTCTGCCCCTGCGAGGGTTATGAGCTGAGCCCCAGCGCGCTGGAATAAAGGCCTCTTGTGTTTTGCATCAAGAATCGTCTCTCCGGGGTGTTTATGGTGCATTGTGGCGTCCCGGACTTAGAGTGGTGGGATTCCTCCCTGGGAGGATCTTACACTATCACTCCGTGGAGCTTGAACAGCTGAAAGGGCCTCCAAGATGCTGGGGCCTATAGGCCTATAGGCCTATAGGCCAGCGATTGCTCCAGGAGCTACGAGCAGTGAGAATCATCCAGGAAGGAACACACCGGACTAGTTGGAAATAGATCTTTATTAGTCTGGCCAGACTGCACTCCTGGAGCCAAGTAGCTCCGAGAGGCATCAGCTCAGGGACATGGGCTGTTTTTATAAGGGGATAGGCCGGGTGGGGGTCTATACTCAAAGCACTAGGCAGGGTGCACTGGCGTGTTGATGGTTAACAGATGCTTATAGAATGTCCCAAGGTTTCAAAACATTTCTTCCCAGCAGACAATGAGTGAAACAATCTTATCTATTCACCCAGAACAATAAACATTCACCTGTTAATTTACATTAATCACAGTTGAGACTAGGAATTTAAGATTACAAAGCTATACAGTCCCACAATGTAAGTGTCAGAAAGAGGATGGATATAAGGCAAAGTTTTATAATTTATAACTGACCAGCTCCAAGTTTCTGGATGGTCATGGTTTTCTCTAGCATGGAGTCTTGAACAGATTCAGCTTCCTCTGAAAGACTGAGAGCAACTCATCTCTCACTTTTTCTCCCTCTCTCCCCCCTCTCTCACTTTGGCCCTCTCAGAAGGATTTCAGTTTTTCAGACAGCCCAGTCATCTTGCATCTACCCCACTGCCTTCACATTCCCCCACGTGGTACCACTTGATTCCCATAAACACAGCCCTGCTTCCTTCTAGATCTCAAAATCAATCCTCCGAGATCAAAGACAGCAGACATGTAAGCAGCCCTAATTATACTTCTTGGGATCACTCTTGCTCTATCTGACTCTGTTATGCTGCCACAGTCTGATAACTCCTATATCACCGTGGTCCCAGAGTCATCTTGGTCATAGGCTCCTGCTGCTACCCCATATTTGGCCTAGGTCTCTGCCTTGTTCTTTTCAGTTCCCTTTGCCCTGCCCCAATCCACACATCCCAACAGTGTCCTGATCCTGCACTCTCAAAGGCTCCCATCCTGCTTAGATCCCCTACTCACTACTTTATCTATGCATTATTATTCCCCAGCATACTGTCTTGCTCCTCCCATTTCACCCCTCCTCATTGGCAAATGCCTGAAGGGGTGAAAAAAACTGTTTCAGACCTTGTAAACCCTACCTCGACCCCAGGCCTCTTTGCAGCGATTTCAACTGGAGTGAGGTTCGAATATTGTGTCTAGTTCTTTTGGAACTAGTTTGGTCCAAACCACCCTTATTCCACCCTTTCCTGCCATAGTTAACTGTCATTGTCTAGAATAAGAGGGAGGGTGTTACCAAATATTAAATAAAATCAGGTATATTCTGAAAATCTATTAATGTATTGCACTTCATTGGGTTATCTCGAGGAACACAATCAATAGAAGATACATGTATAATTGTCAAAGGGCTTTGTCAGGTAAGCTCACAGGATCAGAGGTGGGAGAGTCCATGATGGTTGTCTATGCACAGGAGAGCTGGAAGATCCAGTAGCTATGATTCAGTAGCTGTGCAGCTTAAGAAGATGGAAGCCATAGAACAAGAGGGTTCAGGATGCAGCATTAGCCCAAGGTCAAAGGCCTGGAAGATCACCGGAGAGTCACTGGTATGAGTCTATGTTGAAAGGCTGAAGAAAGCGGAGACCTGGACAATGATGACCAAAGATGATGAGGCAAAGGACATACCCATCCAAGACTGGAGCTCTCAAAATGGGCACGCTTTCTTCTTCTTTCACTTTTATACATTGTCCAGGCTACAAGCCTATTGGTTGGGGTGGGTCTTCTACCCTCAATTTGCTGGAATACATATGAATTATCCACAGACCAACCCACAACTGTGCATTACCAATCTGTTAGGCAGTTCTTGCTCTAGTCAACTTGATATTTCCCAACTAGTGGTCACATACACTAAAGAAAAACTGACATCTTGGTTGATGCAGAAAAGACATGAGATGGAATTTAATATCCATCCCCTTTGGAGCTAGAGATAGTTAGATATTTTCTTAATTTGACCCCAAATGTACAGCAAACCTTGTACTAAATGGAAGAACAAGTTAGCTCAATTTAGCTATCCTTCAGTATATACATATTTCAAAACAACACGTTATATGTACATGATACATACAGGCAAGTTTTATTTGTCAATTTAAATGAATAAATTTTTTTCATTTTTTAGAGAATACTTTATTAGTTTCTGTAATGAAACCCACATAGATGTGACCTTACATATTTAGTACGATGTGTTACCCCTGTACACATGGAAAAAAAAATAAATTAAAAAAATTAACATTCTAGACCAATAT